GTTTGTATGTCATTGTGTGTCTGTGTGTCTCTGTGTGTGGCTGTGTGTGTGTGTGTCTGTGTGTGTCGGTGTGTATCTGTGTGTGTTGTGTGTCTCTGTGTGTGGCTGTGTGTGTCTGTCTGTGTGTATGTGTCTGAATCACTGTGTGTGTCTGTGAGGGAGTGTGTCTGTGTTTTTGTCTGTGTGTATGTCATTGTGTGTCTGTAGGGGGTGTTTGTGTCTGTGTGTCTGTGTGTGTATGTCTGTGTTTGTGTGTGTGTCTGCGTGTGTCTGTGTGTCTGTTTGTGTGTCTGTGTGTCTGTTTAGTGTTTTCTGAGTCCCCGCCAATAACGTCTTCAAAGAGAGCCTGCAGAAATAGCAGCTAGTTAGGTAGCTCACCTCATGGCCCTCCTCACTCTTTTTGGGTAGTGTTACACGTAGATATAGGCAGTCAGCCAAGGCGTTACTCGAGCAACCATTCGACCGCACGTCACCAGGCCATTTTAGCACACGAACCTGTGGTATTCTTCGAATTCAACATCATATAAGCCAACAGAAGAGATTGGAGCAACATTAAAAGACGATTCACTGAGAAAGAAATCTTTTTTACATGGGACCCAAACAGAATGTAGTATCTAGACATTGATTGGAACAATCTGCGGATGGATGCAGCATTTGTCCACCATGCAGGATTATAATGTTTTTGATGCGTTCCTGTGTAGCCTGTACGATGAGTTGTCGCAGCCAGCCGATAAGTATAATATTTAGGTGTCCTTATTTCCCAGACGAGTTTGGTGCCTATGAACGATCTCGGAATGGTAGATGGCTTGGTTGGCTATGGCAGGCATGATTGCAATTTCGGTTTCTGGACAATGCGGATGATACAGCCAAAACAAAGTCGTTTCAGACGCAACCTTGTTAAACATTGTGCGCATGGTAAGGATTAGCATATGACTGCAAATTTTTGAATAGGAAATCTGTGTTGTCGTGGAAATTCATGGATGACGATGTTTGATATGCGTGAAAGCTTTATGGATCTGCTTATTTTTGAATACGTGCTCCTGCAAGTGTATCTCAAAAGACCGAAACGGATCCTTCGCCAGAGGGCAGTGTTAGACAGCGAGCGAGATTGAGCGTCGAAGATCAGCTGCGGCAGATTTGCAAGGTAGGGGGTCTTTGAGCAGCACGAGCACACACAGTTCCAGGTCAAGACACCACGGTTCTGCTCTGACAATCCTACTTGACTGGTCGGAGATGTGGTGGATGGCGATATAATGGATCTACCATGTGGGTATACTTATGATTTTCTCGATAATTAGTTAAGGAAGAGTCATTTGACTTGAAAGTTTGTCCACGTTATCATATTCACGCGCCTCATTATCAAAACGAAGTTTTTCCCGGTAGTACAAGAGAGTTATACTGGTGAACTTGCGTTGTTGCTTTCCCCTCAATTGAGACAGCGTCAACCTTTCACTTCATGGAATCCCAACCTCCCTAAATTGCTTTTTCTTTCGAGCTACTTTTTCGATCATAACTTCAACTGCTTTTGAGTAGCAGGAGCTATTTGCAAATGACTTGCTTAACCGTCTGTTCACTCAGGGTAAACTGGGTAGATCTTGTTGAAACATGAATTTTGGGCTGCCACTCAATTCTTATACAGCCAAGTTTCCTAGGGAGCAACATTCATTAGGTGCTTCTTAACTCTGGCCGGCGAAAGCTTCCTCAATGAAATTTGTTAAAGGCACCGTTCACGATAAACAAGTTATTGAGTTCTTACCTTATTAATACTCAGCGGCCCCCATGGGTTGTACAAGTGACTCTCTCACTCCCCCGATCTCGACGTCCAGGGCATAGTGGCAGCCCCGTTCTTGCCGTAGTGCGCGTTCCCGCCCCTCGATCGGTGTCACGTTAGACGATGGTCGAGACAATACAGATTGCTATTATTCGTTCTAGGACCCACGCACAATCAGCTAATCGCCGAGTGATGAGGCGATGTTTTTCTCTCATTCTCCTTTCCTCTGTATTTCTTTTTGCTGCCGCGATCCCTTATTTAATTTCCTACTCCTAGAGGCCGGAAAGGGTGAGCTACTTTTGCTGTTACTAGGGGTTTTTTTGTTTATTTATGCTTATGAGTGAGTGAATTTTCGCTTACCATTGTCTGTTCTTCGCACCAGGACCCACACGCGCGCAGAGAAACACTGTTTTGCTCGTCGCCCCACTCTTCTTCATTTTTCTGGTTTCATTCTCGTCCACCCCCCTTTTTAACGTTTTTTCGAAGCCTTTTTTCACTTTGGAAACACCTATGCACGCAGTTTCTTCACCTCAGTCGCACTTGTTTCGATCTTGTCTTCCATTTTTCATCATAATCTGGATTACCCAAAATTATCGTGAACGGTGCCTTTAATAACATTTGGGGGTTAGCATACATTGAAGCTCATTGGCGACACATATTCCTTGAGTCAAAAACTAGCGTATTGGCTTGTTAAATGTCCTTTTCCACAGCGAAATTATTCCTTTTCCGTGGATGCATGCAGCGTGAGAGGTCTCATGCTTGCGATTCACGGAAGGGTTTTCAGGAAAGGAATCGCCTATGTGGATAGTGAATTTGGAGGAGGAGCAGGATGAACAGGAGGAAGAGGAATTGAAGAAGAACACTGGTGGTGATGAAGAGTAATGATGATGAATGATTATGAATAATTACGGTAAATGGTATCGTATCTGGACCTTAGTTTAACGGTCAGACTTTGGAGGACAGTCTTCCTCCAAGACTTCATTTGAGAAAGATTGCCCACAGTTTGTGGCTTCCCTAATACCATCTTTTTTTCTACCATCTTTATTTGAGGGCTTTCTCATTTTTTTTCGAGCACAAAGCAGTGTACTGACTTCATAAAGACGTAAAGAGCTTGAGGACTTCACAAAAGTTAACTATAAAGCAAAATCCGCGAGCGACTAGAGAAGTTACTTCAGATCACTGTCCAGGATTCTGACCATCGTCAGACGAGTTAGAGCTAGAAACTTCAATCATAGCAAAAGTAAACCATTCACACACTGTAGCCCATGAAACGATTCAATGAGTTCTCGAAAAAGTCAAGCCAAGAAGAGTTTGAGCCGCGCAGCATGCAGACCACCCTAGAACAAAGGTATTATGTGCGCCATGTCATGATTTCTAGTTTTCTATGCCTTCAAAAAACACACCAACTTACGTTAGCAGTTCTGTCCTTGAGCAATTCTTTGAACATTTGAGAAGACTCGATAATATCAAGATAATAACAAGAATGGCAGTTTTATCGCACTGAATGGTATCATGATCTATTCAGTGTTGGCAAAATAGACTATGGACAGACGAATTATGATTTGGGAGGACTCTAAAGATAGCAACTGACACCCTTTGATGAGTGATTCGATTGGCTTTATTATAAAGACAGCACTGCGTGAGTGTATCCTTCACGTACTTCAAGGCACGGTTTGCGATAAAAAAGGTTACTGAATTCTTCCTTCAGGAATACTCAGCGCCCCCATGGGTGGTGGAAGGGACCCTCTCGCTCCCACAATCTCGTCGCTTAGGGCATAGTGGAAGCCCTGTTGCTGCCGTAATTGACTTTAACGCCCTTCGATCGATGTCACGTTAGACGAGTGTCGAGACAATACAGATTGCAACCATTCGTTCTAGGACCCACACACAATCAGCTGATCGCCGAGTGATGAGGCGATGTTTTTCTCCCCATCTTTTTTCCTCTGTTATTATTTTTGCCGCTGCCATCCCTTATTTAATTTCCTACTTCTAAGGCTGAAGAAGGTGAGCTACGTCCACTATTGCTAGGGTTTTTTTCGTCGTTTTGTGTACTTTTCGAAGCTCTTTGCTCTTCAAATTTATTGGTGAGCTTACGGCTTATAATGCCTTTGTCAGACCTTAATTATTTACAATATATTGCTGCATACAATCAGTTACTATCAGTTACAATACGAAACACATCAAATCATACCAAGTCAACCAGAAATATTGGAGGAAAAAGGGGAATGGACTTGTCGGCGGGGATCTTGAAGGGAAAATGGACGCCATGATAGAGGAAGGAATGTAGTGGCTACGCCATGAGGATGTAGCTGCTGGATTGCACGAACTACGAACTACACGGGTAGCAACAAGATATCAAAACTGTAGGAGCGTAAATCCTTAGGTTTCAGAACTTCTAATAGACTTTTCAAGAGCAGTAAAATCCCACGAAAAAGTAGTGATAAGTCTCAAAGAAAACAAAGTAGATATCAATAACATTATCTCTGTATTGATACGATGTGCAGTGCAAGTAACTGCATCAATTCACAACTTCTAATTTAGTAAGTGAATGTGAGGATATGTGCTATGCATACAATCCAGTGTAATATCGAGGAAAATCTCCTGCAAAATGTGTGGTATAAGCGATACGCTCGATCTTTTACAATGCTACAAGGTGAACAGCATAGTATAATATAAATGGAAACATTTGTGACGTTTATTTCTCAACAAGCCTCTGCAATGAAACTCACCCATTCTCTGCACTGCTCCATATTGACAACACGTCGGCTTCCGTTACGACACTGCTGGGAACGGGGAACCGCTTGCCACACCTTTGAAGCACTGTCGTCTTCTGCTCCTGTCTGTATGCCAAATATTTTCCTCTAGTCCGTCCCAACCATGCTTACCCTCTAACGGACACCGCGCATGGTCCCGCTTCCCCATCCTAACACTGGCGATGAAAGCAGTTTTAATTGGACTTGACTCAGCAGTGATTTAAATACTTTTCTGCCATCCGACTCGATTTGAGCGAAATGTTTCTCTTCCGTGGATTATCTGAGATGTTGACAGCCTTCTTTTTAGTGAGTGTGGGTCCGAGCATTCTTGTGCAATCGACAGTTACCGATTCGCATTAGGTCGACTTTTTCCCTCAAGTTTGTGTATTGCGAGGTCTTTTAGAAAGACACAATCTTACTTTGATGCTTGCGCAAAAAAGGTTCAACTTGAATTTTGCGGGCGACTTCTGGCTTAATCGTTCCTCAAGTAATAATAGAGACGTGGAGTATTTTCAGACGGTAAAAACAAAAAGTCTAGTCAAGAGGAGTGGCTCATTTTTCCAGAAACCTGAGATGTCACAGTGGTCTAAATATTGAAAATTGACTTTTTCTGGAAATGAGACTCAAGTGTTGCATTTGGAAACCATGATATTCGTCCTGCCTATTCCTACCTAGCTTAACAAGTCACATATCCTAGGTCCCTGGTACCTCAGCTCCTTCAGCTAAACCGCTAGTGATCACTGATGCTGACGTCCTCTTGCCATAACAGTTCCTTCCTCACTTGTATCACGGGCCAATTCATCTTTGATACGCTCCTCAGCCGGGACCTCTTTCCATATTCAAAAACGAACTTTTTTCTTCTGCACCCCCTCATCCCAGTCTTCTCTAGTTTCCACCGATTCAAACCTATCCTATTAAGTACCTGTCGGGCCGCCCGGCTAACGCCGAGCTTCCCTCCTTCTTATGGGTTC